CCGCCTGCAGAAAAGCGCGAGTTTGCGGACCGCCTGCCCCCGGCGATTATCTGAGCACCCGAAAGCGCCGATTAGTTTCAACAATACTAGCGGACGCGACAAGCGTCTGATTGCGCGATACGTACTCGCGGGCAGCCATAAGTGCTCAAGAAAGCGATAAAGTTCATGTAAATTAACTTTCAATCGAATTTCTTGTATACATGTTTTCATCCTTATCAGCCTGGCATAAAAGTTGGGGTCTTTCCAGAAATTTGTAATAAGCCTCAACAAAGTTTCCTATAATCGTATCGTTCCAACAGCTAGTGTTTATTTGAAATACTATCGAAGATCAGAATGTCGACTTTACTCTTAGCCAGACGAAGATACGATACAACTCTACAAATGTTGTGTAGGCCTAACACAGCGACATATCTCATGCGAGTAACGTTTTCTCTTACGACGTGTAAGATTGTGGCGTCAACAATGTCCGGGGCTTGCCAGAGTGATGCAATTCTTTCGAGCCGCGGCTCAAAAAAGAGGGGCTTGCCTGACAGTAATGTCCATGATATCCATCTACGCGCGCAGCTTAAACAGAATACCATAAGGGCCAAGTTAATTCAAAAATTCAAGGCTTGCACACCATCAAAAGCTAGTGTTAGGGGCGGGGCTCGGCACGAGCCGGTTTCTAGGGTTTCTAAAAACGAAGTCACCCCTGACTTTCGGAAGTTTTAGGAGAAGATAAAAACTAAAACGGTTTACTAGCCTGAAAGAAAAAACGTAAGATAAGACACTTGTCCTTTCTTGTTGAAACCTTGGCATACTTGAAATTAAGTTAGTATTGCTTGGCCAGCACGAGGTTTGGATGAAGCTTTAATCATCAGTGGCTTAACGTTTCGACTACTCGTCGTCTTCAGAGGCCTAAAGCGGTGCGGGATTAGTGATCTTATGTCTGTCCCACCAAGTGCTTTATCAACCCTCGGCTAGCTTCTCGATCCCCTCTAGAGTTTGACAAGCAAAAATCGCTAGATGAGAAAGACGAACACATCTTTGCTTCACCGCCGGTGCACTTGATGTTATGGTGCGACCGTATCCTTGATGACAGTAGTGCCAATAATTCACATTTAGTGGCATATTGTAGATGAAATCATTGCACTACCCTATCATAGCCCACATATTGATAAAAACGGCATGAAGTCATTCGTAACGGCTAACCACTCATTCTTGTTGTTCATAAGCGGTGTTTTGCGGGTGATCCAAAATGCTTCGAGAGCTTTCCGGGCAGAGGCATCTTTCTCGTATGCCAAAATTGTACATTTGACTTCGTAGTCTTGGTCGCAGTGATATTCATGTTTATGTTTCCCGAGAGGAGAAACCAGACTACCCGTACGTTTATTGGCAAGATGTTCTTCGATCGTCACGCCAAGTGCTCTTCCGGTTTTATATAACTAGCACCACAAACTAAACACTTTAACTGATATATCACTTCTGTTTTAGCGCAATCTCCGATGCTGTTATAAGGACAAACTACGCACTCTTTCGACATACAGTATTTGTCTAGAGCCTGTTTCATACAAGCCGTTTCTTTAGATTATCGCTCTTAACGTTTACCAAAATGACATCGCTGCTCAAATGTGCTCGTTTAATGCTCTGTCGTATTGCAACACTAATTTCATCTGGAACGAAAGGAAGACAAAGCGCTATTTTATTGTTCTGCTGAGCATCGTTACGTAAAGAACATGGTCTACCACGAGTATGATACATCAGATAGCCATTTTCTTTCGCAATGCTCAGCGCGACATTTCGCGACTCTTTCTGTCCTTCTTCCCCCGTACACACTTGTGTTGCTGTTCTTATCATATTCCGAATGACGGCATCTTTGACGGCTGATGGATGTGCCGAACGAGCATGTAACAAGATTTAGAGCTGCCTTTACGATACCATTCAAAACCAAAAGAATGGTGGAAGCAGCATGCCCGAGCAACACCGCAGCGTAAGTGACATAGCTCATAACGAAAGCCTTGAACACATGGAAACAGTCACCGTTATCGGCGACACTCAAATTTCCGACGACGCGCGTAAGTTTTTGAGCTTGGGTCCCTCGTTCTCGATTACTCAGAATGTCAATGAGACTGTGTTTCGTAATGTCATCACTGGTCTTCACAGACTACGAGATCAATTGAGAATAAGGGCCAAAAACAACAAACAAGATCCAAATGCACAAGCAACACTAGTTGAGCAGCCACTCCCTTATATTCCTTTTCCAAGTACTTAATACAGAGAGCCTCAACCAATACCTGTAGCTGTAGCGCAAACGTTAAATGGTATCGTAAAAGCAGCTCTAAAAACATCTTGTTACATGCTCGTTCGGCACATCCATCAGCCGTCAAAGATGCCGTCATTCGGAATATGATAAGAACAGCAACACAAGTGTGTACGGGGGAAGAAGGACAGAAAGAGTCGCGAAATGTCGCGCTGAGCATTGCGAAAGAAAATGGCTATCTGATGTATCATACTCGTGGTAGACCATGTTTTTTACGTAACGATGCTCAGCAGAACAATAAAATAGCGCTTTGTCTTCCTTTCGTTCCAGATGAAATCAGTGTTGCAATACGACAGAGCATTAAACGAGCACATTTGAGCAGCGATGTCATTTTGGTAAACGTTAAGAGCGATAATCTAAAGAAACGGCTTGTATGAAACAGGCTCTAGACAAATACTGTATGTCGAAAGAGTGCGTAGTTTGTCCTTATAACAGCATCGGAGATTGCGCTAAAACAGAAGTGATATATCAGTTAAAGTGTTTAGTTTGTGGTGCTAGTTATATAAAACCGGAAGAGCACTTGGCGTGACGATCGAAGAACATCTTGCCAATAAACGTACGGGTAGTCTGGTTTCTCCTCTCGGGAAACATAAACATGAAAATCACTGCGACCAAGACTACGAAGTCAAATGTACAATTTTGGCATACGAGAAAGATGCCTCTGCCCGGAAAGCTCTCGAAGCATTTTGGATCACCCGCAAAACACCGCTTATGAACAACAAGAATGAGTGGTTAGCCGTTACGAATGACTTCATGCCGTTTTTATCAATATGTGGGCTATGATAGGGTAGTGCAATGATTTCATCTACAATATGCCACTAAATGTGAATTATTGGCACTACTGTCATCAAGGATACGGTCGCAGCATAACATCAAGTGCACCGGCGGTGAAGCAAAGATGTGTTCGTCTTTCTCATCTAGCGATTTTTGCTTGTCAAACTCTAGAGGGGATCGAGAAGCTAGCCGAGGGTTGATAAAGCACTTGGTGGGACAGACATAAGATCACTAATCCCGCACCGCTTTAGGCCTCTGAAGACGACGAGTAGTCGAAACGTTAAGCCACTGATGATTAAAGCTTCATCCAAACCTCGTGCTGGCCAAGCAGTACTAACTCAATTTCACGTATCGTCGATCGTCGCGAGGTAAAAGGCTTGCTCCAGTACAAACTCGCCATTGTTAAAATCGTGCTCTCGCAACATTTTAACTGCGCCGCGCGTGGTCCGCAGCGGTTGAGCAGTCCGTACGTCCAACGAATCGACGATAAGATAAGAGTTGAAATCCAAGTTGGAGCTGGTTACAACGCATGCGCAAGAGTTTGGCACCGGAGCGCGATATTTAACAAAGCGATTTACGAAGAAATGAAGGCAAAAAACAAAGGAAAGGCAATAATATGAAAATATATTCATTCTCAGGGATAGATTTTTAACCGGGGAATCCGTACATGATAGAAAAATCCGAAACTTATGTGAAGTGACAGAAATGTATGCTCCAGACGATTTCAGATCGTCTGGTGACCGTCTGGAGACGGACTAATTTTGTAAAAAGTAATACTTCACCTGAGATTTCAGATCTTTTTGCATGATTCTTTTGCAAATATTCTTTTATGTACACAGTTCGATTTTGGTGTCATATGCTTGTGTGTGCGCTGTAAACAAGCTATTCTTTTATCCTAACCTTGCTTTTAAATCGCGTGCACTTTTCGCCACACGATTGTGCATGTCAATCGTGCGATAACCTGTCCGAAAAGCTTGTGTTCGACTAAATAGCGCTTATTCTTTGTGCTCGGCCCCGATTCGAAAAACGACATCTTCTTTGCTTTTTGCTCCAAAAACGGAGTCCAGCCTGCTTCCAGACGATCTGTGCCAGGCCCTGATTAGGGGCAGCCGGTGCACGCAGTAATCTCAGACAAATCACCGGAACTTCCGCAGGAAAGGCTAAATTTGCAGAAGTTTCGCAGGACTTTGGCCACTGTTGCAAAAATGAAAACTCGAGAATCGGAACTTCCGCGGGATTTTCATGCCAAACTGGTTGAAAAGCGGAACTTTCGCAGAACCTTCTTCAAAATCCTGCGGAAATTCCAAGAATGCCAGAGGTTTCGCAACATTTTGGCTTGCCAGGACTTCCGCAGGACTTTGAATGTATTGTTTCGTGATGTTGCCTCGCCAGCAACTAGAGTGCATTATCGAACATGTCAGCCGTAGTGTAGAGGATAGTAGGTGAGTCTCACAGTCAATAGAGTGAGGTTCAAATCTCGCTTCGATGTTCTCTTTTCCTGTTGTGGTTGGCATTTTTCGGAACTTCCGCAGGACCTTATTTCGAAACTTCCGCAGCACGTTTACGGAACTTCCGCAGGTGACCCGGCGAAACTTCCGAAAGCGCTCTGCGGAATTTCCGGTCATTTGTCTGAGATTGTTCATGCTATAAATTTTCCAATAACTCGTTGAAATCAGAATTGTGAGCGAAATACCTATGCATGGCTAAACACTATTCCACTTACTACCTACCGACAAAATTGCATTACATAGATGCCTTATGAATGTTTTGCATAGGTAATTGAGTCGTTCGACGAGCTTTGAAAAAAAATGCCATGATATCTAAAATTTTAGCATATTGACTTTGCGATCATGTATGCTGCTTCAGGACTGCTTGGTTGTAATCAAATCTTGTAAAAAAAATAACCCAAACTTACAAAAAAACTTACAAAAACAATTCTTTTTTCGCCATCCTTCCACCCAAATTCCTTTTGTCGAGCAAGTAGAAAACGTTGTTTTGATTTTTTGAAAAAAAGGCAAGCCACCATCCAAAGGTCGATACAGGCGCGGTGATTAAGAATGAAGTGCATAGTTGAGATGAAGCATACATATCCACAGGAACAGTGAAATTAGAAATAAACACTGCCTAAACGTGAAACGTGACCTGTCTCAATTCCAGAAATCCGTAGAGAGCAGTATGTCATTTACTCAGACAATTCACCGGAACCTCCGCAGGACAAGCAGAATTCGCAGCGATTTCGCAGCACTTTTTTAACCATTGAGAAAGTGCACGCTACATTGAGCAGGGTTTCCGCAGGAATTTGACGTCGGAGCAATCGTAAACCGGAACTTTTGCAGCACTTTCCACAATGCGCCGCAAAAATGCAATAAGGCGCGTGAGATTACCGTAGCACTTTGACCTGCCGCATTTCCGCAGGAGTTTAAGGGCTGCATGCACTAACATCCCCGCGGGGAGGGGATCGCAGCTCAAAAGAAAGCTTTATATTTCGAAACTCCAGATACCTGGATTTCAGATTGTGTACCTATCCGTAAGTACTCCTACTACCCTTCACAATGAACATGTTGAAAAGGAGCGAGAAGTTGTACGAACCGCATTTTCCAGCTTTGTATGATTCCTGATGATCCCCGGCGCTTTTCTTCAAAGTCATTTTTCTTTTTTTGAAGTTAACGAAAAACCTCCAAAGTTGTGCAAATTATCTAAACCGACAGTGCTAAGCATGTTGCTGATAAGAACAAATGATGTTTTGAAGTCATGAAATTTTCGATGATCCACAGGTCGAATGAGGTTTACTGAAAAATTCGACTTTTCAAAAACTCATTTGTTCTCATCAGCAACATGCTTAGCACTGTTGTGTTAGATGTTCAGTACAACTTTGGAAGGTTTTCGTTGACTTCGGAGAAAGAAAATTGACTTTAAAGAAAAGCGCCGGAGATCATCAAGGATCATACAAAAGTTGGAAAATGCGGTTCGTACAGCTTCTCGCTGCTGTTCAACATGTTCATAGTGAAGGGTAGGATAGGTACACAATGTGAAATCCGGGTATTTGTGGTTTCGAAATATAAAGCTTTCTTTCAAGCTGCGATCCCCTCCCCAGCGGGGAGGTTAATGCATGCGGCCCTAAGAGCGCATGCCTTTGCGATTGCGAAATAGCGAACACATCTTTAGCAGTCAACGGCGCATAGCGCATTGCTCTTTTTTTCCATGGTGTTTCGTCCTGCTCTTCCTCCTTTCTTTCTGTTTTTTCTTTGTTTCTTCAATGTTGGCGTAAGTAAACCTATATTGACTCATATTCTAAGTATTCTTGCAGGCATCGGTGCAGGTGTGCGAACAGCCATTACCAAACTGCTGGAGTGCTGATAAAGGACTCAGTAGAGGGACTTCATTCAAGCACAACCCTCTTGTTCAGGTATGTCGAAAATCTTTGCTTTCTTTGCTTTGACTAAAATAATAACGCAAATAGTTGCAACTATTACTTTGTAAAAAATATATATTGAATCTAAACAAAGCAGAGGTAACTTGGTAGAAATATATTACAACAACGGGAGGGGGGAATAATGGGTCACAAAATTTTTGAAGTGATCTACAAGCTCTTGGTAAATAATAAGATGTTTTCAAAATTTTTATGATTCAAAGTATTAGGTGCAGGGCTCGGCATGAGGTGGCTTTTTCAATTTCTCAAAAACAAGTCCTTGTAAACTTCGGCACAAAAATACGGCATCATTTATAATGCGATCATGAACGGATCAAAACGAATAACGAAAAAACAATGGAACATAACATAGAACCAGCATCGAACAGATTAAAAAAAACTGAAGATGTTCGTATTCATCGAAATGGAGACATGCTGTGTACGGCGCGCACCCTTGCGCGCTTGGAGCAGGCTTACTGCCGCCATCAAAATATTTCGAGGGCTGTAACCAGGCGAGGAAGAGGGGGTTCAGGAACAAAAACTTAATTGTATGGTTCTTGATTAGAACAAAGTTATGTTAAACATGTGAGAAAGTTATTGAAGAAAGAAAAATATATGACTTTCTCTTTTCACAGCCACCTCGTGGTTGAATAGCCACCTAACTCCGAAAAAAGTTTGCCACGCCTTCGATTCAAATTTTTCCATAATTTTTCGTACATATTCCTAATTCCCTAATGCCCATCTACACACCAATTTTGGTGTCATTTCATTATCTCTTCGCTGTAAACAAGTCTTTTGTTTATTTCGGGGTAGATTTGAATTTGTGCGCTCAGTTGGCGAACATGTTGAAACAGGAAATTTTTGGTTTTTGCAAGCCGATAAGGCACAAATGGCAAATTGCGCATTCTATAGAAGATGTGTGACAAGGCAGTAGGCGGTTTTGTGTGTGTGTGTGTGTGTGTGTGTGTGTGTGTCTGTGTGTGTGTGTGTGTGTGAGTGTGTGTGTGTGTGTGTGTGTGTGTGTGTGTGTGTGTGTGTGTGGTGTGTGTGTGTGTGTGGTGTGTGTGGTATGTGTGTGTGTGGTGTGTGTGTGTGTGTGTGGTGTGTGTGTGTGGTGTGTGTGTGTGTGATGTGTGTGTGTGTGTGTGGTGTGTGTGTGTGTGTGTAGATGTGTGTCCGTGTATATCTGTAGATGTGTGTATATCTAGCTTGCCGTGTTATCCACCTGTGCCGAGCCCTGATTAGGCAGGACCAAAAGTTTATTCGCCAGATTCTAAAAATCATAATTTTTTTCGAATCGATGAATCTTTTTGAATTAAAGTTTTTTTAAAAGAAGAAACCATTCTGTCTACAGCAGTACTCTTGCCATGATTTGGCATAAGAAAGTTCGAAAGTTAGAAGCAACTGAAGAATATTACTCAAGATTGGCATTTTTCAAGCAAGGTCATAAAAAATTTCGAAAGTGTCTTTGTTCGATAGAGAAAAATGTGCTCTTTACTATGGTACCTTTTCCACGAATTAAAACATGCCTGTCTATATGCCTATGTCATTCTCGCCTAATATGGCTTTGAAACTCACCGCGCAATGCCGACTATCGCAAATAAAGTCTAGACAACTACTCACTCTAAAAGCTTTTTCATGGAGATCGGTGATTTCGCGTGAACAGAACTTTTCACAGAAGAACAAATGCAAATTTTAATAGGTTTTGAAACTTCTTTTGATTTGGTAGTTGCCATAAGGACAATGATTACCGTGAGCTACATCTTTACGCAAAAGTTTTCTCAAACGCTCAGGTACCACGGCGGATTCACCATTTACGCAACCATTTCTTTTTGCCGTCGTATTCGTAAAGTAGTAGACCGTCACTTTTTGTCTAAACTCCATGGCTTGGACATCAACATGCCAAATACATCCACACTTTGCAAAAGCGTTGATACGGACCTAATTTTGCGGGTCAGAAGCCAAATGGACCCGTCTGACGCTGAAATTCTGAGGGACCCATCCAACGAATCCGTTCATGCTTTTGCATGGTGAAGTTCTAAGCTGGTAGCATGCGCTATGCAAAATTTGGGTTCAGAACGTTGGCTGGAATCCGCTTTATGAATTTCGTTACAGACAGACACACAGACATACACACACAAAAACATGTAAACAACCTTAGCCCGTTATTATATACCAGTGCGTCACCTCTGCTTCGCAGAGGCTCGCACTGGTCTCACTATCTGTATGCCTTATTCATTCTCGCAATAATGACATTGAAACTCACCGCGCTATGCAGACTATCATGAATGATTTGTAAACATCTACTCATTTCTAAAACTTTTTCATGTGAGATAACTTCCCGTGAATGAAAGTTGTCCCAGAAAAACAAATGCAAATTTAAATTGGTTTTTGGACTTTTCATGGCTTGAAAATCGTCTTGAGGACGGTGATCACATCTCTGTGCAAAAATTTCCACAAATGATCAGGTAAGTTCTTGGCAAATTGAAGTTTACGCAATCAATTCTTTTTGGCGCCAACTTCGTAAAGTAATAAATCTTTGTTTACTTTTTTTGGGCTAGAGTCCAAGGCTTGCACATCAGCTTGTCAAACGTGCTCATGATTTTGCAAAAAGTGTTGCTACATGCACAATTTTGCTGGCCAGAAGTTAAGTGGGTGCCTCTGAAACGCAATTTTTGAGGGATCTATTCAACGGATCCGCTCGTGCTTTAGCATAGTGGACTTTCATGCTGGTAGCATACGCCGTGCAAAATTTGGGCTCAGGACATTGGCTGAAACACGCTTTACGAATTTTGTAACGGACAGACACACACACATACACACAGACAAAAAGACGTAAACAATCCTTAGCCCGTTACTATAAGTCATGATAATATATATTATGCTGAACCAAAAGTTCGTTAGCACCATTTTCAAAAAATCATAACTTCTTTCCATCGCGATGATTTTGCATGGCTAGAATTTTATTGGAAAGAATGCTATTTACTTCACTTTGAGTATAGAGATAAAATTGGAGAAAGAAACCACTTCAAGCTCGAAATTTTCAAGCAAGCTCGTAAAAAATCCAAAACAGTGCCATAAACAAAACAGCCAGTATCCTAAGTTTTTTGATCCCCTCTTTTTAGCTGAGCAAAATTTGCGCTGATCGAGCTGAGCTTTTCTTAAAAAAGTTATGATTTTCGAGAAAAAATGTCAAAAGTCAGTTTCTCAAGAAAATTGATTTTTTGACATTTTTTTTAAAAATCATAACTTTCAGAGGAACGGCTCGATCAGGACGAATTTTGCTCAGCTGGAAAAAGAGGGTCAAAGAGTCAAGGACAATAGCGGTTTTGGGTTTTATGGCACATTGGATTTTTTAACGGGTTTGCTCAGAAATTTTAGACTTGAAGTGATTCTTTTCTCCAGTTTCATCTCTACATCCAGAGTGAAGTAGATGATAGCCAGGGTGCCTCTCAAAAGTGCATGGATGCTCTTTCCAATAAACTTTTAGCCGTGCAAAATCATCGCGATAGGAAGAAATTACGATTTTTTGAAAATGATGCGACAGAACTTTCGGTTCAACCTAATATATTCATATATACAGAGTGTCCCAAAAAGATGTGCACACTGTCCGATCGTTAATAACTCCATTGTTTTCATGTCTTTCGCCGACCATTAGGTAACATTCTCTACAGCGAGGATAAGCTTAGATTTACAGTATAGAGCGAATCATCAATCACTCTTCGTTACTGTAGGATCATGGTATAAACTTTCAGCATGCAGCGTCACTATGGAATGAGCCTTTTGATAAAATAATTTTGAAAAAATCTGAAAATTTGTGTATCAAGGTTCAGGTGTGCTGATTCCAATACATAATTTTCCACAGTTTTTCGAGCTTTATTGATGGCGTATTCACATCTCTGAAAAGTATTGGAAATTCAGTTGTTACTCTGAATCTGAAATAACTCATGAAAGAAACAGAGTACTGACGTGCAATTTTCATATTTAGAATCAGCAACTTCGACTCACCCTGTTCAAGAGTTGGCTGGCTTATTCGGCTTTCTTTCTGAGGCAAAATGCCGCTAATGGCTTAAAATCCTCGTCCAAGTTCCTACCGTAATCCTACAGTAATGAAGAGCTGCTGATAAATCGCTCCATACTGTAAATCTAAGCTTAACCTCGCTCTAAAGAATGGTACCTCAAGCTCGGCAAAATACATGAAAGCAAGAGAGTTATTAACAATCAAACAGTGTGCACTCTTTTTGGGACACCCTGTACATATTATATTTGCTTCCGATTCTCATGTATATACAGGGTGTCCCGCAAGTAAGTACACACTTTTCAATCGTGAATATCTCTCTTCCCAATGGGTCTTTTTTTCTGCGTCAAGCACCATTCTAAAGAGGAGGCTTCAACTTAGATTTGCAGTATCGAGCAAATTAGGGATCTCTCTTCATTACTATAGGATTACGGTGAGAACTTCAGCATGTGGAACCATTGTGAAATATGCCATCTGACAAAATTTTTTTTTAAATCTAAAAGATTGCCTACTAGGTTTTCGCGCACGCTGATTCCACTACACAATTTTTTACGAATGTTTTTAGCTTTCTTGACGGTGCAATCACATTTCTGACAGATATCGGGAATTCGGTTATTACGGTTTACCTGGGATAACTTTGGAAAGAAGCATTACAGTAAAGTGAAAATTCATATTCGAAATTAGCGGCTTCCATTACCACAGTGTAAGAGTTTTTGGCTTGTTTGGTTTTGTTCTGAGGTAGAACATGGCTTCGAATGGCATAAAATCCTTGTTGTTCCTACAGTAGTCCTACAATAATGAAGAGCAATCGGTGATTCGCTCGATACTGTGCTAAGTTGAAGCCTCCAAGTCTTCAAAATGGTACTTAAAAGAGGAAAAAGACACAATGGGAAGAGAGATATTAACGATTGAAAAGTGTGTACTTACTTTTGGGACACCCTGTACATACGTACATATATTTGAACACTACTTCATTAATTCATCATTATGTTAGTTGATTCTCAGCCTCATTGATCTTGTTTAATCTTAGGTGCATTATCAGTGCCTCTTGTTGCAAGATGGTGCCTGCATACAATGTGCCATTTGTCTCAATAAAACTATCTACGTTCTACGTCTCTCAACATCTAGAAAGTACATCAAAGCAATGATGCCTTAGTAAAAAGCAGAAACCTAATACTGAAAAGGAATACTTAGTGTCAAAAAAGAAGCTTGATATGGAGAAAGCGGATTATCAAAAGCGAAAAGCGCAAAGTGCTGCGGAACACCAAACAAAGTGTTGCGGAAACCCTGTGCACAAGATTGCAGCGGTTCTGCAGCGCTTTTGCAGGATCAGGATTTCCGCAGGGTTTTCACTTGCGGGAATTTTGCGAAAGCGCTGCGGAAGTTCCGGCCAGTTGTCTGAGTAGAAGTGAAAAGGACACGTGTTGGCAATTTTCAACACGTTTGACAAAATAAGATATGATGACCAGGTTGAAGGACTATAGCATGTTTTGGACAAATATTCGATTATGTATTCTAAATGTTTATCTTACTCTACTTATTTTTATTCGAAGGGAGCATAATGTGCTTTCTGGCTGGATCTTGGTTACTCTCTGATATTCGGCAATGAGAAAACAACTGAGGAAAGAGATTATTTGATGTTTGCCATTAGAAATCTAAAACTGTGCAGTAAAATTCGAAGCGGTTAATTTCCGAGTTTTCTCATTTTTTCGAATAAGCGAAGCTTGTGTTGATCCAGTTTTCTATGAAAAGTTGAATTTGCAAGAAAGACGAAAAAAGTGACTTTCCAGTGTGCTATTTTCTAAAGATCAAAAATTTTTGTAACAATCTTAATCAATTAAGAAAGGTTGGGAGACTTTCAATGTCAATTGTACAGAATTTGCGTAGTGTAAACTAAGCAGGCTCTATCAAAAAGTAAGTTATTAAATATTATTGTGAAAAAAGCAGTATTGAAAGTGTCTACATAAATTTGTTTCATACTCAAAGCTTAGTATATAGTAACATTTTGGTTTCAAAACTACTCCTCCCTGTTGGGATCCAAACTAGCAACGACGCCGATTTTTTGAGGAAGAAAGCGCGCTTCAGAACAAGTTACGCAGCTGGCAGGATGAATTAGGGAATCGTAAAAACCGATAGTGGCAAAGAGAGGATGTTTCAACTATGCCCATTTGCCACCCCGGTGTTGGGTCCTGACTGCACCTACAACTTTATTGTTAGTTAGAACAAAAGATTTTTCTCAGTTGTAAGAGTGAACAAAACCAAAAATTACGAAAAAAAATTTCGAAGTACTTCATAAGTTCTCCTTTCTTTAAACCTTGGCATGTTAATAGTATATCGTTTCGGCGGAAAAAACGCCGTCCTCAGAGGCCTGAAAGCGATTCAATCACTTCCATCAAACGCTTTATGCGATCAAGCGCCTCAAGCAACTCATACGTTTGATACGTACAAAGTGACCGGAGTCTAGTATCCACGCCGAACCAACTTACCAAGAGTTCCACAGAAGAGCACGATAAAAGCTCTTTCGGTCGCCTACAGGATATGGTGACAATGAACAGTCCAGCTGAGTTGGACATGTTTATGTAACTGTAGGTTATCTAGAAACCGCAAAATGATAGGAATGGCTTAAGATCATTTGTGATCGACAACTGTTCATTCTTGCTATTCATTTTCGGATTCCGAGCAAGAATGTATGCGGCTTCCAACGCTTTCCGAGCTGAGATGTTATCCTCGACTGCCAGTATGTTACATCTTATTTCAAAATCTTCGCTTTCATGGTCCTCCTTCCTATGTTTCCCCAGTAGGCTCACGAGGCTCTGTCTTCGTTTGCTGGCCAGATGTTCATCTACACGCACTGCAAGTGGTCGACCTGTCTCACCGATGTAAATGGCCCGGCATGTTTGACATTCCAACTGATAAACTACACCACTTCGTAAGCAATCCCCTGACCTTCCATTTGTGAACACAACGCAGTTTTGCGATTTGCAAGCTTTATCGTACAATCGATTTCGAACCAGTTGTTTTCTGATGCTGTCATGTGGTATATTCACTAAGACGACAACATCCTCCAACTACGCTTGCACTATACATCGCCTAACTGCATTGATCACTTTGTCGGATATGAACGGCAAGCACGAAGGAATGCGTGTTCGACATCGGTTGCTTGCGTTCATGCGTGTTCGCCTGGAGGTTTTGGGCTGCAGTGGGTATCCGCAAGGAGCCTAGTACTTTGCGGAAGACCTTACAATCAACGTTTTGCGTTGGCGCAAAGGATGGTCCCAAGCTTAGTAGGTCTACAACGTGAGCAGAGATGTTAACGTTGCCTAAAACAGTGACCCTGGCCGTTCTATCAGATTGGATCATATCCCAACAATCTAATTTAACTCATGCACAAAGGCAGTCATTCCAGGAGCTACGTGAACTCACGTCTAATGGGACCCTCCGATTTTCGATCAGCGACAAAGGAGGCGAATTTGTTATCATGCCCCAGACACTGGACCGTGACATTACCGAGTATCACTTATCCAATGATTCAGTATTCGTCGCTCAACAGAGGAAGAATTCCTTTCTCAATGCAAACGGCTGAACCATATGTGGATGGTAATTGGCAAGCAAGCCGGTTCAGAAGAAAGGTTCCTCATTCGGCTCAAGATTGAAAATCCGATCTGCCCTGTCTTCTACAGCCTCGTTAAAACGCATAAGCTCTCGACCGATCCAGAAAATGTGTCAACTGCAAATTGTAAAATTCGACCAATCATCAGTTGCGTTGGAGGGCCGACAGACAGAATTGCATGGTTTCTGAACAAGATTGTCAGCCAACTCTTAAGTACGATCCCCGCTCATCTGCCGAATACCAATCGCTTCCTTGAACACTTACGCAATACGAATTTCGATCAGCATTGTATAATAGAGTCTTTTGATGTGGAGTCATTGTACACAAATGTGTCTAATAATGACGCCTTACAGGCACTTTCTGAGCTCCTCGATTCACATATCACAAATATGGAAACCTACGGACTCAGTAAAGTACGCATCATTGCTCTTATCAAGGAATGTCTTGGATGTAATATCTTCAGATGGGCGGGCAAGTGTTACCAACAATTAAGAGGGCTGGCGATGGGGCAAAAACTAGCTCCGGTCCTTGCTATCTGCTTTATGAGCAAGATGGAAGAGCCGGTATTGACGCGACGTCCCCTTTTGTACTGCCGCTATATAGACGATTGTTTCATTGTCACATCGACACAGTCCGAAATGGATGAGTGTTTTAAGATCCTCAACGAACAATCGCAGTACATTTGCTTGACCAGAGAAGAACCACACGATGGCTGGCTACCCTTTCTCAACACACAGGTGATGTTGGCTAAAGGCGCTGTACACATTAAATGGTATCGGAAAGAGAGCAGCAAGAACATCATTCTACACGCGATCTCTGCTCATCCAACTGCCGTGAAACGTGCGGTTATCCGCAACATGTTCAGAACAGCAAGCAGCGTATGCAGCGGCGAAAGTGAAAGACTTGAGTCTCTGGAAATGGCACGCGTCATCGTTTTCAACAACGGATACCCACTGCAGCCCAAAACCTCCAGGCGAACACGCATGAACGCAAGCAACCGATGTCGAACACGCATTCCTTCGTGCTTGCCGTTCATATCCGACAAAGTGATCAATGCAGTTAGGCGATGTATAGTGCAAGCGTAGTTGGAGGATGTTGTCGTCTTAGTGAATATACCACAAGACAGCATCAGAAAACAACTGGTTCGAAATCGATTGTACGATAAAGCTTGCAAATCGCAAAACTGCGTTGTGTTCACAAATGGAAGGTCAGGGGATTGCTTACGAAGTGGTGTAGTTTATCAGTTGGAATGTCAAACATGCCGGGCCATTTACATCGGTGAGACAGGTCGACCACTTGCAGTGCGTGTAGATGAACATCTGGCCAGCAAACGAAGACAGAGCCTCGTGAGCCCACTGGGGAAACATAGGAAGGAGGACCATGAAGGCGAAGATTTTGAAATAAGATGTAACATACTGGCAGTCGAGGATAACATCTCAGCTCGGAAAGCGTTGGAAGCCGCATACATTCTTGCTCGGAATCCGAAAATGAATAGCAAGAATGAACAGTTGTCGATCACAAATGATCTTAAGCCATTCCTATCATTTTGCGGTTTCTAGATAACCTACAGCTACATAAACATGTCCAACTCAGCTGGACTGTTCATTGTCACCATATCCTGTAGGCGACCGAAAGAGCTTTTATCGTGCTCTTCTGTGGAACTCTTGGTAAGTTGGTTCGGCGTGGATACTAGACTCCGGTCACTTTGTACGTATCAAACGTACGAGTTGGTTAAGGCGTTTGATCGCATAAAGCGTTTGATGGAAGTGATTGAATCGCTTTCAGGCCTCTGAGGACGGCGTTTTTTCCGCCGAAACGTAAGGCTCAATAAAGAATTCCGATAAAAACCTGTTGTGACATAAAAAAAGCTAAACGATACGAAAAAAAGTTATTTTCTGCTACCTCAAAGAAAGAGAAAGCAAAATAAGTAGGCCCCGCAGACTTTTCTGCAAAAAAAATATCATGATGAGTATTACATGAAATTCAAAGTTAGGTTAGCTAGACAAACTTTTTCAATCGCATTGGTCGCAATCATCTACCCTGCCTGCTACTGATCACTCATTGAGCAGTGGTTGAGCGATTCTGTTAATAGCTTGTTCGGAAATTAATGCAGGTTTTGAATCCCAACCGCAATAAGTCATACATTTCTCATTAAGCAGGTTACAATAGACCATTCGATAGAGCAAAGCAAGCAAGATGGCAATCTTGCTTTAGCAACACTCTGATCCACCACCAGTTTTGTGCCAAAAACTAAAAAGATTTAACAGCCCGAAAAATCGAGAAAAAATCATGGCTTAGTTCGTGACTTGCTTTACTTGTTCACGTAAACACAATCCACATAGGGCATCTAAATGCGCCGTTGCCGTATTTTTTCTCTGTTAGAAATCAAGAAAAACGAAAATTTTCGTGCAATTGCCAAAGTGGTGCTGTGCCGTTCCTACATAATTAGTTGTATGCTACGTACTTGTAAAAGTACAAACGCTAATTTCCAGCTTTCTACATTTTTTAGTTCTCAAGAAATATCGAATACAGTTTTCCCTAGTCATGTGGTTCAAACTAACATTCAAATTTCTCGAGAGCTAAAGCTTGCAGAGAGCTGAAAATTTGCGTTTGTACTTCCACAGGCATGTAGTATACAACTACTTATGTGGGAACGGCACAGCACCACTTTGGCAAATGCACGAAAATTTCCGTTTTTTTGATTTCTAACAGAGAAAAAAGTACGGCAACGACGTATATAGATGCCCTACGTGGATTGTGTTTACATGAGCAAGTTAGAATTTTTGTAGGATTTCTATGAAATGAGTTACGATTTTTCTCAATTTTTCGAGCAGTCGAATCTTTTTAGTTTTTGGCTTATAACTCGTGGTGGACCAGAGCTGTTGCTAAAGCATGCTTGTAGATCTCTTGTAGAGCTCTACAAGCTTGCTTTAGCAACAGCTCTACAAGCTCTAAATTTTTTAGAGCTTGCTTTGCTTTATCGAATGGTCATTGCAACCTACTTAGAAACAGAGGTGCGATAGGGGGAGCCAAGCCTCCCCCTACCTTCACTTTTGAGCTGATACAGAGTGACCACCTTCACTTTTGCGAAAAATTTTTTGTTGAATATAAAGAAGGAAAATAAGTAAAACAAACGCAAAAGGGATTATCGAAGGCATATACATATGTATTGCAGTTTTAGGAACTCGCCGTCACCCATCGGAAGCGAAGGCCATCACCGCCATGGACGCATCCACTTTTCCGCCTTTCCACGAAATCGGAGAAGATAGCTTCGGGACGAATTTCGATTTAAAAAGCTATGACCAAACGGTCTTCTTTAGGGCCAACAATTGACCCAACGGCCCTTTTTAGGGCCACAGATACGATGAACACAGCGGCATAAATATTCGAAATAAACGTGTCAATGAAATGGTGTATTTTGAAGTAAAACTCAACGACACTCTACAGATTTTATTAAGTAAATTTAGTTATGTCGTACTGCGAAGAAAGTAGGTCGATCCAGGAGGCATTTGCCGAGAACCAGAATTTTGAATGAAAAAATAACCAGAAATCATGCAAAATTGCCACTGTTATAAACCAAGTGGTTGAAGATGTCAGCAACTGCGACTTCATAGGTTTCAAAGGGTAAGTGTTGCTCTAACAGATAGTGAAAGAATCGGGTCGATTTGAGCAGTGGTCGCTGAGAACGAGAATTTTGAAAAATTAGGCGATT